ATATTCAGTCTGCGAGGATCTAGCGTCCCTTCTCACTGGCCTGCTGCGCAGGTTAGGGGACAGCCTGAGCTTGTTAACCCTGCTAGGGGAGGCACTGCTCATACTCTGCCTCACAGGTAGGGGCCAGGCTCCTGGAGTATTTTGCAGGGGTCAGCATCAGGTACCTGTGTTACCTCGTTGGTTTTCACAATGCTGGCTGATTGACAGCCTCAATAACATCTATTTAGACTTTTTATTTATTTTTTTATTTTTTATTTTTTTATTTTTTGGTTTTTTGAGACAGGGTTTCTCTGTGGCTTTGGAGGCTGTCCTGGAACTCACTTTGTAGACCAGGCTGGCCTCGAACTCACAGAGATCTGCCTGCCTCTGCCTCCCTAGTGCTGGGATTAAAGGCATGTTCCACCAACGCCCGGCTTAGACTTTTTAACTTTTTTTTCTTTTTGGAAAAGGGACAAAAGTTTTGCAGTGTTTAGCTGTTTCCATTTTTTTATTAGGTCCCAGGAAGAGTCTGCCCTCTGCCTGCAGATGTTCTCTTCAGGAACCTGGATCACGTCTGCAGGATGTGGTGAGGTGTGTCTGGTACCAGTACTTGGGAAGCTGAGGCAGGAGGAACTCAAGTTTGAGGTTAGCCCGAGCTACAGTCTCAGAATCAAATCAAAACAAAATCAAGGGCAAGAACAAAATAATATGGATTATGTAATGCTTCTGTTCCCAACTTGGAGGGTCAGGTACCAATTCCAGGCAATAGAAAAAGTCTGCTCAACTACCCAGAAATATGTGACATCTACTCTCAGCTGCCTGAATCCAACTTCCTAACCCCCATGACCTCTCTTTCCTTTCTAGCTTGTCCAGAGATTAATGCACCATTAGATCCTTTTTTTAAAATTTATTTTTAGCACTCGGGAGGCAGAGGCAGGCGGATCTCTGTAAGTTCGAGACCAGCCTGGACTACCAAGCGAGTTCCAAAGCCACCCTGTCTCGAAAAACCAAAAAAAAAATTTATTTAAAAATTTTTATTCCCATTAGTGTTTTGCCATGGTTGTCTGGTCCCCTGGAACTGGAGTTACAGACAGCTGTGAGCTGCCCTGTGGGTGCTGGGGATTGAACCCAGGTCCTCCAAAAGAGCAGTCAGTGCTCCCAGAGCCCCCACCCCTGCCATCTCCCCAGTTCCTTACATCCTTTTCTTTTTTTATTTTCCCTGCCTCTGCCTCCCAAGTGCTGGGATTAAAGGCATGTGCCCGGCCTTTACATCCTTTTCAAAGACATTTTTTTTTTCCCAAGTCACAGGTCTTGATGTCATCTTTGTTGCCTATGGCTGTGTTCTCATGTTTCTGGCCTGCCTCCCTCTTGGTGTGTTTCCATTTCTATCTGCCTTTCCACTTTATCAGATTAACCTCCCTCTTGGGTCTCAGTAGGAAAGAGACTTGACTCAACTGGGCGACCACAGAGTGTAATAAACATTCACAAAGGTGTGTCCTTAGGAGTGGTGCCCCAGGCTGAAGCCACAAAAACACATTCCTACTTTTAGGCCTGCAGGGCCCAGGAAGGAAGCAGTCACTAGACAATTCTCCCCTCCTCTCCCCTCCCCTCCTCTCCCCTCCCCTCCCTCCCTCCCTTGCCTCCCGTCTGTGCGTCTGTGCATCTGTGCGTCTGTGCGTGTCTCTCTGTGTGGATAGGGCCACTGACAGCAGCTGTGGCCTCAAGGACTTGGACAAGACAGGAGAAGCTGGGGAAAGGAGTGCCCCTAGTTTGCTCCCCTCCCCTCCTCTGTGGAGGCTGGGCGCTGGGGATGTACAGTCCCTTTGGTCAGTCTCCCAGGCACAAGGGGGGGCTGCAGAGAGTGGTTCCTGAGGGGCAGAGGGAGGACTTCGGACCCACACAGGCTTCATTGCTCGCTGGTCACTCTCTGATGGCACGGCAGGGACTTCCTGTTCCCTTTTGGTTTAATCTTAGTATTCAAGGAACCCATAGCAATCTCATCCAGCCTTCAACCCACCTATCCCAAAGAGCGCAGCCCCCCGCTTGTCTGTGTCCCCAAAATCCTAAAGTGAAGCGACTTTGTTTTTCTTTCTTTCCGTTATTATTATTTGCATTTCTGGAATACTCATCACTGCAGATCTCTTCTGGGCAGCTGTCGGACAGTAGCGGAAGCGGTGATGGTCTGGCTGGTACAGAGGTGACCAGCGCAGAGAGCCCTGGGGCTACAGGACTGAAGTGAGGACCCAGGCTCGCTACGAAAACAAGAGCAAAGAAGAATTCTAAAGCCCAGTATTAACTGGATCAGTCACCCCACTGTCCCCTATCACTGTCTGTCTATGAAGTGAGAAGACACAGGTCTGGCTCTTTAATGTGGGTTCTGGGAACTGAACTCAGGTCCTTCTGCTTCGGGAGCAAACACTTTACTGCCTGAACCATCTCACTAGCTCCCAAGACTGCGTTTTATTCGCCTTTGAGTCTCAGCGCTGAGAACGGTCCTGGGAACACAGAAGGTGATTATGGGTCCCGACCTGAGTTGATACTAAATCTGGAGATTAACTTTCCACTGTAGATGTGGAGGCTGCCTCACTCGTACTTTCTCACCCTATTTTGTAACTTAGCCCACCACTGAAGGCTCAGCAGACTGTGTGTCAATAATCATCCAACACTTATTTCCTAGGTCCTTGAGACACCCCACTCCAACCCCTAGGCTTTCTGGCTGTGATAAAGGAGCCCGCATCATCTTCTCCATATCTGGGTTTACACTGCCCTCTGGTGGTCATCGATGGTACGAACGGGGGCAGCAATGCCTTGCCGTGGGTGACCTTTTTCTGACATTGAAGAAGAAAGGCTTCTTGTAGGGGTTTTGCCAGTGCAACTGGGCCTCCAACCCCCAGTTTAGCTTGCAGCTCTTGGACCTGAACGAACACAAGACCTGCTTACCCTTCTTACCAATGCTTGCGACTCCTCAGCCATCAGATAATGCCTGACTCAAGTTTCTTTTCACAGCATCACTTCCTGTTTTGCCAAGACCCACGAGGGAAGAGGGGGAGTTTATCTGATATCTTTCTCCTCGGCTGCTGGTTTTCTCTTACCCCCAGACACCTAATTCTTACTGCTGCCCCAGCTTCTCTCAAGGGTGGGGTTGCAGGAGGTGTGGGGAACAAAGGAGCAGCTGCTCTCCCCACTGACCAGCGCCTAGCAGCTGCGCCCATGCGTGTTGCCCCAGCTCCTGCTTCCTGCCTGGGGCCACACTCCAGGTCACTGAACCAACAAGCCCGGTCCTGAAGAGTGAAGGCCAGGGATGCAGGCTTTAGGCAGTTCCTCTCTCTGGCCCCTGTCGGATGGCAGGAGCCCTATAGGAATCACAGGATGTTGAGGACAAGATCTCCTGGTCTTGGCAAACTGAGCCGAGTGCCCAAGCCCCAGAGGTTTAGAGCTCTAAGTCCTTTAGAAGTCAGAGATTGGGGCTGGAGAGGTGGCTTCGTGGTTAAGAACACTGGCTGCTTTTCCAGAGGTCCTGAGTTCAATTCCCAGCACCCACATGGTGGCTCACAACCATCTATAATGAGATCTAGTGCCCTCTTCTGGCCTGCAGGTGTACATGCAGAACATTGTATACATAATAAATAAATCTTAAAAAAAAAAAAGAAAGCCGGGCGTTGGTGGCGCATGCCTTTAATCCCAGCACTCGGGAGGCAGAGGCAAGTGGATCTCTGTGAGTTCGAGGCCAGCCTGGTCTACAGAGTGAGTCCCAGGACAGCCTCCAAAGCTACAGAGAAACCCTGTCTCAAAAAACCAAAAAAAAAAAAAAAAAAAAAAAAAAAAAGAAGTCAGAGACTGAGGGCTGTCATGTTAGAGGCTTAATTTAGGAATCAGCGGCCCATTTGGAATCCTCCACTGCAGACCACAGCCGCAACAGAGGGCACCTTCTAGGGTTACAATTTTTGACAGGTCTCAGGTTCTGGGACCCTGACTCATGCAGCAACCCATGTCATGTATTCTTGTTTCTTTGTTTGTTTGTTTTTGTTTCTTGAGACAGGGTTTCTCTGTGTAGCTTCTGGAGCCTGTCCTGGAACTAGCTCTTGTAGACCAGGCTGGTTTTGAACTCACAGAGATCCACCTGCCTCTGCCTCCCGGGTGCTGGGATTGAGGGAGGCTGTTGGAGCCTTAGCTCTCCACAGCTCTTTGGAACCTGGCTCTTCAGGAGTGGAAGCGCTCTGGGACTCTCCAGCTTCCTTTCTTATCTGCCGCGTTGTCTCCATTGCAGCCCGCCTCACCAGTGTAGTCTTCCTTCTCCCTGGTCCTAGATGAGTCCATTGGACCCGGGGAGGAGGCCAGAAGGCCTGGAGAGAGGGCTCAGTCTGTGAAGAGCCCTGAGTTTGGTCCTCAGAACCCATCTTAAAAAGCCTGGAGGAATGTGACTGGAACCCCAGCACTAGGGAGGCAGAGATGAACGGATCCCTGGAGTTTGCTGGCCAGATAATCTAGCTGGAGAGGTAAACTGTTCAGTGAGAGACCCTCTATCAAAACAACGTGGAAAGACAGGGCGGCGGCGGCGGTGGCGGCGGCGGCGCACACCTTTAATCCCAGCACTCGGGAGGCAGAGGCCAGCATTAGGACCTGCGTTCAGATCTGCAGCGCCATGAGCTGGGGCAGAGAAGAGTGGTCCCCCGGGGCTCCTTGGGCTGTAAGAGTGAGAGCTCCAGGTTCAATGAGAAGCCCTGTTTCAAAAACTAAGATGGACAGCAATGGAGACAGCACAAGGCGTTGACCTCTGGACGCCCCCCCCCCCATGTGCACAGGCCCCATGTGCACTTGCGAACACACGAGCACGCACAAGCATACAGCAAAGCACAAATATGAGTAGTTCAATTAATTAAAACAATGATAGTCCGGCATTGGTGGCGCACGCCTTTAATCCCAGCGCTGGGAAGGCAGAGGCAGGCGGATGTCTGTGAGTTCGAGACCAGCCTGGTCTACAGAGCGAATTCTAGGACAGCCTCCAAAACAATACAGAGAAACCTTGTCTTGAAAAAACCAAAAAAATTTGGTATTTTTTTTTCCTAGTTAACCATAGGAGAAATTAGGTCTCAGTGTAAATTTAGAGACTAAGCTTGGGTTGGAGAGAAAAAAAATCCCCAGACCAACAATTTTCTATGCAAGATGTACTAGGGAAAGGGTAAGAAAGATAAATATCAATCTATGCCATGGAGAGCACGGTAGAGTTGTAAGGATAAAACTTGGGCGTGAATCCGTCTTCTGGGTAACCTTGGATGAGCCTTTGCCCAAAGTCAGTTTTCTATTTTGAAAAGCGCAGCTGGCTATTGAGGGAAGATGGCACCCAGCAGGGAGCCTGGCCCAGAAAAAGGTACTGGTGGGTGAGTCCGGCCTAATCAGGGCTAATTCTAAACCCTCGTCTGCAAGCGTGGTGGAGGATGCGTCGTTCACGGCCACTAGAGGTTTCAGGAGTAGCGATGGCCGTTCCTTGGAAAAGAGCTACAAGCTAAAACAAAATCCTGAGGTTCTGCAATCCTTAAGGCCGAGACCCCATCCTCAACCCAGGCCACAGCTCCGGGAGCAGGGACCAGCGTGCCAGCACGCAGGAAGTGACGGGTTGTCCTGGCAACCCTGGACCGAGCCTTGCAGGCAGCGGTGAACGCCCTTGCTTTCGCTTTGCATCCTGGCATTCGGCAGTTCCGCTGCCAGTTGGTGCGTTGATCTGGACCATATCCTCCGCGGAGTCCTCCAAGGGTAGATCTAGGGCTCCCTCAGGGAGGTGGGTGTAGGAATCAGAGGAGGAAAAGGAGACCCTGGGGCGGGACTGGAGGAGTCGGGAGGGAGGGCGGGGCAGCAGGGGTTGGGGGCTGTAGGGGGGCGTAGGTGGAGCTGGCGTCCGAACCCAAGAACACCACTAGGAGCCCTTGGTCTGCCTTTTGACTTTCAAAGGCTTGTGGGGTATATTGGTTTTGAGAGGTAGTCTTTCTAACAAGACCCTTTGTTTCTGGTTACTTTCATGTTTAAAAATCACCGCGCACACAAGAGACCATGAGTACTGGAAACGGCAAACCTGGCTGCCAACTTCCTTCCATTTCGAGAGCAGCTGGTACTAGAGAGTTAGAGAAGGTTCCGGAGAAAGGTGACTCGAGCTTGACCAAGGTGGAAAAGAGACACAGTTGAGTTCTGGGTTGGCTTAAATCCCATGGGTGGCTTTATCTGTCTGTCTGTCTGTCTGTCTGTCTGTCTGTCTGTCTGTCTATTTTAGATTGAGCACCAATGCTACCCCTTTATGTAGCCCAGGCTAAGCCCCCCAAGTGCTGGGATCATCACAAGCTTCTGCTGTTCCAGGTTTTAGAGTTCGTTCATGACCCTGTTGCTTTGGACTGCTGGTGGCATATCATAGTGACATACACCAGCAGTCATAGTGACATCGTATGTCAGACCAAAGCATCTCCCCTCTTGGTCAAATTGTTTTTTCTTTCTTTCTTTCTTCCTTCCTTCCTTCCTTCGTTCCTTCCTTCCTTCCTTCCTTCCTTCCTTTCTCTCTCTCTCTTTTTTTTTTCTTTCAAGACAGGGTTTCTCTGTAGGTTTGGAAGCTGTCCTGGAACTCTCTTTGAAGACCAGGCTGGCCTTGAACTCAGAGCCTCTGCCTCCTGAGTGCTGGGATTAAAGGCATGCTCCACCACCGCCTGGCTCAAAACATTTTTTTTAAAGATTGTCTTTATTTTATATGTATGCTTCGCCTGCATGTTTGCATGTATGTGTACTGCTTAGGTACCTGGTGCCAGCAGAAGTTAGAAGAGGGTGTTGGGTCCCCTGCAACTGAAGTTACGATGGTTGTGAACCACCATGTGGGTCCTGGGAATAAAAGCCCAGTCCACTGCAAGAGCAACAAGGGTTTTAACTGCTGAGCCATCTCCTCCATGATCTCCCACTTTCTAAAAATTCCACCATCTCCCTATGGTGTGACAGACTGAGAACTAAGTCTTTTAAAATGGAGAACTTTCTATATCCAAGTTAAAGGAGCTCGTTAGGGGACACACACAATGAGCTTGTGTCTATATTAAGATCTGATTAGGTGGGGGTACCTCAAGAGGAGGATGAACTCAGGGTCGCCCTCAGTTACACAGCAACTTTGACGCCAGCACACCCTGTCTCAACAACAAAGACAAAACAGATTCAAATGTGCTGTTGACTGCAACTCCCAACAGCTGGGAAGGACACTGTAAATGAACAAAGGGAGCCAGAGGTTTGAGCTGCCTGGTCTTGGCTTGAATGCTTGCTGCTAGAGCCTGTCCACGTCTGTTTTTTTTTTCTTACTCAGATATCAGTAGATATGTGCTGCTGCTTATTGCCTGGAGCACTTCAGGAGGGAATGTGAGCACTCTAAGGCAGGTTTAAATTAAATAATGGTGAGTGCTCGTTCTCCGTAATTGGCTCTTAAGGTGGAGGAGGAAGGACGGAAGCTCGGCTCTCTTGAGGACTCAGAGTGTATAGGATAGCCACAGTTTCCCAGAATCTGCCTGTCCAGGGTGAATCCAGCCTCAAGCTGTCATCATGGTAGGTCAGCAGGAGCCTGTGCTGCAGAAGGAGCTGGAGAAATCGCATCTTTGCCCAGCTGAGCCTTGTCCCCAGTCCCCTCCGTTCCAGGTCCTCACATCTGCTTCTCCTTCATCACGGGGGGGTGGGGGGGTGGGGGGTGTCTCTATCCTCAGCTGTGAGCCGGGCCAGACTGCAGGGATCTGAACCATGGACTGACCAGCGTGGCTAGGATAGCAAGCAGGAAAGGGTGCTAGGATCCCCATTCCCTCCTTCCTTCCCAGTGCTAGGATCCCCACATTCCCTCCTTCCTTCCCAGTGCTAGGATCCCCATTCCCTCCTTCCTTCCCAGTCTTGTGTAGTCTGTATTAGCCTCAGCTCACTGCGTAGCAGAGGGTGACCCTGAACTCTTGCTCCCACCTCCTGAGTGCTGGGATTACAGGGGTGCACCAGCATATCTGGTCCTATTCGCGCTGGGGGGTTGAACCCAGAGCTTCATGTATGTGAGGCAAGTGCTCTGCCAGCCGAGCTACATTTCCAATCCCTGGGAACCCAACTTTAAACTTCCAGAACTTTCTGGTTTTTTCCAATTTGGTTTGGAATAAGGAGGAAGCCACTTTGAGGGTGAGCTACTGAGGACCCATGCTTTTTAGTTGGGTGTTCTATTCTCAATACATCCTTTCAGGGGACACAGCTAAGGGTCAGCTTAACAGGGGCCTAGGGCTTGGGGAACAGTGCATGGGTCCGTGCCTTGTTCCAGCAGGGAGGGCACATTACTTCCCTTGCTTAAGGGTTGACTCCTTTTAATAGGTACCCACCCTAGATCTTTAGCTTGCTTGTTGAGCAGAAAAAGCAGGAAGTAGGGAACTGAGCTTTTTTTTTTCCTTATTAGAAGCACTCCATATTAAGCCAACATAGTTTGCTGAGTTACTCTTCCCCCTGCCAGGCAGAGGGGTTTGAGTTAGCTGAGAAGACAGTGTGAGAAGACACTTCGGTTATGCAAGCTGTTGTTCTGCCCAAAGACGTGGGAATCTCCATGAGTTTCACAGATGGCACCAAAGACATAGACTGTCTTCCAGATTGCCTTTCCCCCTGAACCCCTTTCTCGTTCCCAGAACCTTCCCTTTGTCTTTAAAAAAGATGTCCATTAAAAAAAAATCAATGTGACTGGACAGTGGTGGCACACACGACTTTAATTCCAGCACTCATAAGGCAGACGAAGGCAGATCTCTGTGAGCTCGAGGCCAGCCTGGTCTACAGAGTGAGTTCCAGGACAGGCTCCAAAGCTGCAGAGAAATCCTGTCTCAAAAAACAAAGCAAAACAAAAAAGTGGTACATCCCCCACGTGAGTAAAAGCTCAGCATACTTCCTGGATTCCCAATAAGTTTTACAGTAGCAACACTCTAATAACAAGGCTTCCATGACGGGAAAACTTGTCTGACACAGGGTGGTCAGAGCCATCTCTCTGCTAAATATCACAGTCCCCATTTTAAGCTGACTACAGGATCTCCCTAGGAGTATCCCTGTGTCATACGTGGACTGGGGGCATTAAGCACGACCTCAAGACACCTCCCTGCCCAGGCACAGGAGGAGTGTGCCCTCTGATGCTGATGTTGGCAGTTGTCCCTCCCCACGCCCAGCTCCCAGCCCCTGCCACCTTTTGCTGCCTAGCTCAGAGCTGTGGTGAGGAATGATAAACTCAGGATTCATGGACTCTGACAGAAGCTTGCTGTTCCTCACGAGGCCTGCTGCAATGGATGCCAACTAAGCTATGACTCTCTAAAACACTGTAGGATGAGAAAAGATGACATCGTCTAAAACAGCAAAGTGGGGGTTGGGGAAATAGCCCAAGGGTCGAGAGCCCTTGCTGCTCTTGCTGAGGACCTGAGTTCATTTTCCAGTACCGTCTCCGGGAGGTTCACAATCACCTGTAACTCCAGCTCCCTCTTCTGGCCTCCATGGGCAACTACACTCATGTGTACATACCTCCCCCCACCCCACCCCACACATATTTTTTGTTTTGTGTTCCAAGATAGGGTCTCTCTGTGTAGACCTGGCTGTCCTGGAACTTGCTCAGTAGACCAGGCTGGCTTTGAACTCAGAGATCCACCTGCCTCTGCTATCCAAGTGCTAGGACACCACCACTGCCTAGACACATTAATTAAAAAAATTTTTTTTTCCTTTTTTTGTTTTTCGAGACAGGGTTTTTCTGTGTAGCTTTGGAGGCTATTTTGGAACTCAACCAGGCTGGCCTCAAACTCACAGAGACCTGCCTGCCTCTGCCTCAGGAGCACTGAGATAAAAGGTGTACGACACCACTGCTAGATCTCAGACTCACAGAGGTCCTCCTGCCTCTGCCTCCTGAGCGCTGGGATTAAAGTGTGCGCCACCACCGCCTGGTGGGATGCAGCGCTTTAAAAATCCCCCTGAGTCCTGCGGATTATGGTGGAACACATCTTTAATCCTAGCAGTTGGGAGGCATAGGCAGTAGGATCTCAGTGAGTTAGAGGCCAGCCTGGTCTACAGAGTGATTTCTAGGACAGCCAGGGCTCTGTTACACAGAGAAATCCCTGTGTCAAAAAACCACTCTTCCCTAAGATGGGGGTTGGTGGCACACGCCTTGAGTTCCAGCATTCCTGAGGCAGACGAAGGTGGATCTCTGTGAGTTCGAGGCCAGCCTGGTCTACAGAGTGAGTTCCAGGATAGACTCCAAAGCAATACAGAGAAACTTTGTCTTGAACAACAAGTAAACAAACAAACAAAACCAAAAAAAACCCCACTCTCCCCACAAAAAACTCCCCGAATCCCCCAACACAGACACGATATGTGTGAAGGGGCAAGACCCTCTGGTGTGTGTGTGTGTGTGTGTGTGTGTGTGTGTGTGTGTGTGAGAGAGAGAGAGAGTGAGAGTGTGTAAGTGTGTGTGTGTGTGTGTGTGTGTGTGTGTGTGTGTGATGGAGGCCAGAGGACAACTTTTAGATTTGTACTCCAGACTACCTGGCCTGTGAGCACATGGACAATTCTCCTGTCTCTACCTTCCATCTTATTGAAGGAGTTCTAGAATTAAAAATGTGTGCATGCCACCACATCTGACTTTAAAACAGAATTGTATAATTATTACTGTTGTGTGTTTATATTTGTGTGTGTGTGGGGGGGGTGTTTCATCTTGAGGAGGACAGATGACAACTTTGTGGTGTCACTTCCCTCCTTCCAAGTTTACACGGGTCCTGGGGATGGAACTCAAGTCACTAGGCTCGCATGGCAAGTGCTAGGGTGGAAGGGAAGTAGCTCAGCTGATCTTTGGGGTTTGTAATCACAAACCTCCTTGTGGTTGCATTCTGAAGGCAGAGCTGGTGTGACCATTTCTTCAGGCAGCAAGAGGTGTGCGGTAGCTGTCATGTCTTTCCTGTGTGAGCCCCGAAGTATGAAAAATGCCTCCGTAGCTTGGAAGGACCTTCTGGAGACGAACGAGGAGCATACATGTTTTCATTGCACTGGGGTAGAGAAAATGTGGGCATCAATGACCAAGTTGGAAAATGATTCAGTAGCCAGAGTTTTTGAATGAAGGGTGAGAATACCATGGCCAATTAGTCTTTGTATGTGCCCGTGTCACAGTTTAATTAAAACCTATATCCAAGTCTAAAAGAGCACCTCAATAGGGATAAAGTAAAGATTCCAGGTCATCTGGACTGGAGGGCTGGCTCAGTGGTCAAGAGCATTTGCTGCTCCTGCAGAGAACCTGAGTTCGATTCTCGGCACCCACCCCAGGAGGCTCACAGCAACCAGTAACTCCACCTTAGGGAATGTGATGCCCTCTCTGGACTTCTCAGCAACCCGTATTCACTGTGCATATACACATGCACTCTTTAACTGACAGCCTTTGTTTCATGTGCATAAAACAATGTTGCTAAAATTGATGGTGCCTTATACTCAGTGAAATGCAGTATTTGCATTTAAGAATCCAAGTTTCTAATTACTGTTTTAGTTGAATCCCACAGGTTTTGATGTGTAGGACCTGAGTTCATTATACGTTAATGTGATTCCCATTATGATTTCTTTTTGATGAATTATTCAGCAGTGTGGTTTGAGCTCCCAAGCTTACGGTGGGGTTTTGGCTTGGGGCTGTCTTTATTATTGATTTCTTTTCTTTCTTTCTTTTTTTTTTTTTTTTTTTTTTTTTTTGGTTTTTTGAGACAGGGTTTCTCTGTAGCTTTGGAGGCTTTCCTGGAACTCTGTACACCAATCTGGCCTCAAACTCACAGAGATCCACCTGCCTCTGCTTCCCGAGTGCTGAGACTAAAGGTGTGCGCCATCATAGCTTGGCCTATATAATTTTCATATCGCAAGTAATTATGTTGTATCTACTGAGCCTCCGTGCTCTGTGAAACTGTGCACAGAGAAGTACAGTGTCTACTCATCTGGCCTTTAAAAGTAATTGGAGGGCTGGAGAGGTGCCTCAGCCAGTAAGAGCACTTGCGGCTCTTGCAGAGGACATGAGTTTGGTTCCCAGTGCCCACATCAGATGGCTCACAACCATCTGTGACTCTAGCTCCATGGGATAAGATGCCCTCTTCTGGCCTTCATGAGTACTGCACACATGTGGTACACACACAAACATGCAGGCACCCACACACCCACATAATTAACAACAATAAAAATAAATATTAAAAAAGTAAACCGGGCACATGCTGATATAAAATGGTAAAGAGCAGATGGACTTTTATAAAATATAAATCATGTAGTGAAATGAAAAGAATGATTCATCTCTCCATATGACAGCCACAGACTTAAAGGACTCTTTTGTCATTGTGGGTGTTTGGGAGCATTTGAATTATTTTTCTTCGTTTTCTTTTTCCTCCTCCTTGAATTCTTTATGTAGCTGAGGGTAACCTTTAACTTCTGATTTTCCTGCCTATCTCCCAAGTGCTGGGATCACAGGCATGGGCCACCATGGCTGCTTTCTTCAGTGCTGGGAATGGAACCCAGGTCTTCCTGCACACCAGGAAGCTACATCCCTAGCCCAAATAATTCTTTGCATTTATCCACTCCAGTGCTGCTTGAGATCTGAGGCACGCCAGATGCTCTTCTAGATGCCACTGGGGACAAAGCTACATTTGGGAATGAGTGGTTTGACAATGTGAGGTGACGTGTGGAAGCTTCTTCAGGTCAGGGTCACCAGCTGTGTTCACTCATCCTGTCATGAGCAAACCCCCTGGAGGATTGTGCCAAGGTGTCCACAAGGCGAACATGACACCGGGCTGCTTCAAATCTCTCCTCCACTCAGCGCAGGGCAGGCGAGCTTGTGGAGGCACAAGCCATCCAGATCAGTGATTCAGACTCTGGTGTCACAATGTTGTCACCAAACTTGGGCCTAGATGTTTAGTTCTTCCCTGAATGTAGGCAAGTGTGCAACCTCTGAACCTGTTTCCTCATTGTGTGGTGTGTGTGTGTGTGTGTGTGCGCACTTAAGAGCACCTACAAGAGCTAGCTGGGATAATGTGTGTGTGGGGTTTACACCAACTCCAGGACACAGTAAATACTGAATCCTAGCTGTTTCAAAAGTGTGTGTGAGTACAGGTGTGGACGCTAAGGGACGGCCCTCAGGAGACAGTTCTGTGCTGCCGCTTGTGTGATCTGGGGATTGAACTCAGACTGCCAGGCTTGGCAGAAAGTCCTCTTTACCCACTGAGCCATCCCACCATATCCCCTCCCCCATTTTTCAAATATAAGTTGGAAATAAAATAGCCTGTCAGTATTTCAGCAATACACTTAAATGGCAGCATCTGTGTTGCAGACGCTAAGCCTGATGGTCTAGAATCCAAGGGTTCCTCGGCCAGCAGGACGGCCTCTGACAGAAGGACCAGCCTTTCGTCTTCCGATGAAGCATGTGTGAGAGTCAGCGAGCCTCCAGGACCCACTGCATCGTCGATTCATTCTGAGTAAGTGTGTGCGTGTGAGTGTGCATTGTGCATGTGTGTGAGCGTGCATGTGTGTGCGCGCTTGTGTGTGTGTGGGGGGTGTCTGTTGAGATTTAGACAATGTTGGGATGAACTATGAGCAAGAAGGGGATAGTCTGAGATCTGTGTGCTAGGCTACACAGGTTCAAATTCCAACTCTTCCACTAATGAGTTGTGCAAGTTTGAGCAAATTGCATCACTTCTCTGGGCCTCTTGATTGTTTGTTTGTTTGTTTTTTTTTTTTTCGAGACAGGGTTTCTCTGTAGCTTTGGAGGCTGTCCTGGAACTCGCTCTGTAGCCCAGGCTGGCCTCGAACTCACAGAGATCCGCCTGCCTCTGCCTCCCGAGTGCTGGGATTAAAGGCGTGCGCCACCAACGCCCGGCTTGGGCCTCTTTTTTAAAAACATTTATTTATTTATTCATTCATTTATTTATGTATCCCCCCAAAGTGTGTGCATGCGTGCCATTTTGAACATGTGGAGGTCAAAGGACAATTTGAGAGAGTTACACACACACACACACACACACACATAAACATACACAAGATTGAAAGAAATAAAGAGTGAGCATCCTAAGAGATACAGTTAAGAGTATGATTACTGGGGCTAGAGAGATGGTTTGCCTGGCTTTGGTCCCCAGAGCCCATGTGGTGACTCACAACCATCAGGAACTCCAAGAGATCTGATGCCCTCTTCTGACCACTACAGGCACTGTGTGTTCATGGTACCCTTACAATACAAGTAAAACATTCATACACACACACACAAATTAAATCTTTAAAACACAATTTTATTCCTTTCTAAGTGCACAATGAAGTGGCATTAATTACATTCATAGTGTCTTACAACCAACCATCCACACTGCCTCTTTTTTATTTTTTTATTTTTTGGTTTTTCGAGACAGGGTTTCTCTGTATTGTTTTGGAGGCTGTCCTGGAACTCGCTCTGTAGCCCAGGCTGGCCTCGAACTCACAGAGATCCGCCTGCCTCTGCCTCCCGAGTGCTGGGATTAAAGGCATGCGCCATCAACACCCAGCTGCCTGTTTTTTAAAAATAATATTTATGTTTTATGCACATTGGTGTTTTGCCTGCTTGTATGTTTGTGTGAGGGTGTCAGATCCCCTGGATCAGGAGGTACAAACAGTTGTGAGCCACCATGTGGGTGCTGGGAATTGAACCCAGGTCCTCTGGAAGAGCAGCCAGTGCTCTTCTTAACCACTGGGCCACCTCTCCAGGCCCCCCCCCACTGCCTGTTTCCAAAAACAATTCACCAATCGAAACACAGACTCTGCGTCACTGATTGGTATCCTTTTCCCTTCAGCCGCTCTCTGCCCTTACATTGGTGGGGCCGTATTGACTTGTCCTTCTATGTCTGGCTAATTTTACTTCAGATGACTTCATCAAGGCTCACCCACGTGATAGCATGTTGCAGGACTCCGCTCTTTTGTAGACTGAGTTATATTCCTTTGTGTGAGCTGAACTTCATTTGTTCACCTGCTTGCAGACGAACTCTTGGAGTTATTCATTGTCTGCAATGCCCGTCCATCGACAAGTGTCTGCCTGCCTTTCTGTTTTCTGTTCTTGTGGGCATACACACAGGGATCATGGAGCAATTCCATGTTTTACTGTATGAGGAGCTAGTACCTTGATTTTTTTAAAAATTGGTTTAAATATGTATGTATGTGTACCCTGAGCACAAGAAGAGGCATCAGATCCCTCAGAAGTGGAGTTACAGGTGGGTTTGAGCTACTATGTAGGTACTGGGATTTGAACCAGCAAATGCTCCTAATTGATTAGCCTGTTTTTTAAAATTGCATTTAATTTATTAGTTAATTTCGTATGTGGCCGTGTGTGCCTGGAGGCTAGAGGATGGCTAAGGAGAATTGGTTCTCTCCTTCTGCCGCACGGGTTACCAGGGGTCAAACTCAGGTCCTCAGGCTCAGCAGTAAACACCTTTACCTGTTGTTGTTGTTGTTTTTACTCTACATTCTTGGGGGGGGCACCCAGCTCCCAAATAAATCACACAGAGTTGTATTATTACTTATAAATGCCTGGCCTTAGCTTGGCTTGTTTCTAGCCAGCTTTTCTTAACTTAAATGATCCCGTGTACCTTTCGCCTCTGGGCTTTTATCCTTCTCCATTCTATGCTCCTTTCTTTACCTCCATGGCTTACCGTGTAGCTTGGTGGCTGGTCCCTGATGTCCTTCCTCTCTCCTCTTTTCATTCCTTCATCTCTCCTCCCAGGTTTTCCCTCCTATTTATTCTCCCTACCTGCCAGCCCCGCCTATCTTATCTTTTCCCTTAGCCATTCAGCTCTTTATTAGATCAGTCAGGTGTTTTAGACAGGCAAAGTAACACAGCTTCACAGAGTTAACAAATGCAATGTAAAAGAATGCAACACAGCCGGGAGGTGGTGGCGCACACCTTTAATCCCAGCACTCGGGAGGCAGAGGCAGGTGGATCTCTGTGAGTTCAAGACCAGCCTGGTCTATAAGAGCTAGTTCCAGGACAGGCTCCAAAGCCACAGAGAAACCCTGCCTCGAAAAATCCCCAAAACAAAACAAACAAAAGAATGCAACACATCTTTGCATCATTAAAACAAATGTTCCATAGTATAAACAAATATAACACATCTTCAAATAATATTGTACATTTACCTGATTGTTCTCTCTCTGTCTCTGTCTCTGTCTCTGTCTCTCTCTCTCTCTCCCTACCTACCTACCCATCTGTGGGGTAGTATCTAGTTTTTCAACACATGGTTTCTCTGTGTATCCTTGGCTGTCCTGGAACTCACTCTGTAGACCAGGCTGGCCTTGAACTCAGAAATCCATCTGTCTCTACCTCCTGAGTGCTGGGATTAAAGGCGTGTGCCACCACCACCCGGCTAACCTGATTGTTTTAAAGCATGGGTCTTTTGATTAAGTTTTAGTACCTTCAAGTTGTGAATCAGTAAACTACATGTTCAGAGTGAGGCCAGCCAGTCCTGTTACTGAGAACTCTGTGTGCCACTAGTATAAGATCAGTTTGGCTGCCAGTTTGAACACAGAGGCAGTTCTAACCCTGCCACTTGCCTTCCAGCACAGCTGCAGAGATGGGTCAGAAGTCCTCCTCCTCCTCCTCCTCTTCCTCCTCTTCCTCTGCACAGTCCAGTCGCTCCTCTCAAGTTTTACTGCCTGGATTCCAGAAGGAAACATATCCTGAGGAACTCAACCTGCTTAAGTCACAGACAAGTGAGTAGGCCTTCCTCCATAGTCCTGGGGCCTTTTCAGAAATCTGTCACATTATGGGCCAAGTCATGGAAGACCTTCCCTGCCCAGTGTCAGGCTCTTGTCATGCTTCCTTCTGGGTCCTCAGGATGGCTGTGTGAGAGGTATGTGTGCTCAGATGGTTTTCATACATGAAAGGCCTTAGCGTAAGCGCATTAAAAGTTATTAAGCAATACAGAAAGAAGTGTATAGACTATAAATGCCCTCTTACTCCATATTCTCCAACAATATTCTTCCCTATGGCTGCGAAGAACTGAATTTTGAAATGTACACCCGTGTACAGACAAAAGCAGTCATGTGTTGTATAGTGCAGCTTTGGCCAACAGTGGTCTGCATGTATGACGGTGGTTCCATCAAAGCATGATGGGGCAGGAAGCTTCCCATTGCCTGGTGAGGTCGTGACACACACACACACACACACACACACACACACACACACACGTGACTCATGTCCGTGGGGATGCTGGTGGCCAGTCATGTAAAAGCACATACATCATATCTGACAATGACAAATAACCACGCCACTGGTTTAGATATTTACTACACTGCACTATGCCATCATTATAAAGTGTACTCTCTCTACTGATTACGAGAAGTTAAGGGGTCTGGGCAAGGCAGTTAGTGGGCAAAGGGCCCTGTGTCTGAGACTGAGTTTTGGTCCCCAGAAGGCACACGCTGGAAGGAAAGAGCTGGCTCCTGGAAGTGGTCCTCTTGATCTGCACCATGGTGATGCAACACACATGCATGCACACATGAGTGCAGACACACACACACACACACACACACACACACACAAAGTTAATCACACACACACACACACAAAGTTAAACACACACACACAAAGTTAACCACACACACACACACACACAAAGTTAACCACACACACACACACACACACACACACAAAGTTAACTACACAGCAGTATGCTTGGCTACACGGCTTCCTCTCACATTTTGTTTAGGACGCCTCTTAATGTTATCAAGAAACCATACGGAGTGAACAATTGTACTAATTCCTTTTCACACCCGTGAAGGTTCACTTTGCTGGGCAGTGGTGGTGCACAGGTTTAATTCCAGCACTCGAGAGGCAGAGGCAGAGGCAGAGTTTGAGGCCAGCCTGACCTACAGAGTGAGTTCCAAGACAGCTAGGGCTGCTACACAGAGAAACCCTGTCTCGAAAAAACACAACAAAAATAAATAAAAAGAAGGTTCATTTTGACTCTACAGTGCCCATGGCGGCGGGGAAACATGGCGGCAGGGAAACATGGCGGCGGGAGTGGGAGGCAGCTGCTCACACTGTGTCAACAGTCAGGAAGGTGAGGGGTAGTGGTGGGGATGGCTGGTACTCTGTCTGTTTCTCCTTTTTATTCAATCCAGGATTCAGTCCACAACCGAGCCTTCCTACCTCAGCTAGCCCAATCTAGAAGCTCTCACAGAGCTGTGTCTCCTAGGTGACTCTGAATCCCATCAAGTTGACACTGGTAGCCTTGTGCCAACTGTAGGTCTGTGTAAGCACACTGTGGTATTCAAAGGAGAATGAAGCAGCCTAATGACTCGTTTCTCAAGTCATCAAGTGACACACAGGAGAATAACTGAGCTGTGGTATACAAAGTATTTCCCCTCAATTGTTGCATAGATCACAGAGCTTTTCCTGCATAGACTTTAGGTCTATGTGACTGCTTGCATTATTTTTCTTTTGCCAAAAGATTTATTATTTTCATTTTATGTATGTGTTTGCATGTATGTATATATGTATGTATGTATGTGCATCTGGGCTGTGTCTGGTATCCAAGGGAGCCTGAAGAGGTTATCAGATTCCCTGGCACTGGAGTTATAGACGGTTGCAGGTCATCATATAGGTGCTGAGAACTGAACCTGGGTCCTCTGGAAGAGCAGTCAGTGCTCTTAACTGCTGAGCCATCTCTCCAGCCCCAGGATTAGCTGTTTCTGTTGCTGTGATAAAATACCATGACCAAAAACAACTTAGGGGAGAAAGATTTATTATGGCTTACGGTTCCAGAGGGATAGACCCCAGAAAGGCAGGGGAAGCATGGTGGGGAGACAAGGAGAGGAAGCAAAGAGGTCATTTCACTGTACATAGGAAGCAGTGGGGGGTGGAGAACAGGAAGACTAAAACTCCAGTAATGTACTTCCTTCATATGGGGGTGGGGCTGAGCTGGAGGGCTGGGGGGCGGGTAAGAGATGGCTCAGTAGGCAAAGTGCTTTCCACCCAAGCATCAGGACCGGAGTTTAGATCCCATCACTCAAGTAAGAAAGCTGTGCCTGTAATCTCAGCAGGGAGGCAAGGGTAAGGAGGTCCCTGCCAGTCAAATGGGTAAGCTCCATCCAGTGAGAGACCCTGTTTCAATAAGTAAGATGGAAGGGGACTGTGTCGATGGCTTAGGTGATAAGAGCCCTGGCTGCTCTTAGAGGACCTAGGTTCGATTCCCAGCACCCACATGCTGGTTAGCAATGGTAACTTCAGTTCCTGGAGTCAGTGCCCTTCTCTGACTTGCCTGGGCACCAGGCATGCATATGGTACACAGACACACTGTTGTGCCCAGACTCTGAACCCCCCAAACCGCCAAGAGATCAGATCTGATGCAAAAGCAAAAAGTCTTTTTAATTTATGAGTTAATTCGGGTCCTCCGTCTATCGAGACAGCGGGTAGAGTAGGAGGGGCTCTGAGCAGTAGTGGGGCAGTGTGTATATTGGGGTAGAGCAAGGGGAGCATCTGGGGGTCTGCTAGTTGCATAGCAACAGTCTCAGGATTGGTGCACCTCTGGGCTGGGGGAACCTGTCCTGAGCCGATTGATCAGCTGCTGCTGCAGAAAGGTTGCTGTACCTAGAGGCCCTCCCAGGGCAGTTGCTAAGCCCTGCATTCCATTGTTATCAGTACAGCATATCCAGAGTCCGCCAGCTAACTTCTGATTGGTTTCTTGCCACATGGGGGACTTCTGGCGGTTGCTTCCTAGTCATTAGGCAAAGTTGGGCAAGGTCGAGGGCTCTGCACATGTTGCTGAGTCAGGGGCTTCCATCTTGTTGGGTGTTTTCTGCAGCCTGTCATGGCTGCCAAAGCAGGGTGCCAGGTGAGGGTCTGGGCCCTTCAGTACAAGCAGGGAAAACACCCTGAAAAGTTTCTACACCCGGATAAGCCTCTCTGCTGATACAGCAATCCAAAGCAGACCAAATCAAACTGAATTATAAAAAGCCACATTTAATGGTTACAGTGCTCCTGGTGGCCTTCCAGCCCCCCCAGAGAGGAGACGGGAAAGGGAGACCGGAAAAACCACAAGTCTGGTTTCTGAGGGGGGCAGCTTAAATACCCTGTGGGAGTGGTCTTGAGCATCTCTGGGGGAGGGGTCATCACTTGATGGGTTTTCTGAGATGCAGCAGGGTTTGAAGGATTGGGGAGGCAGCATGAGTGAAGCTTCTACCTTAACACACCCATGCGCACACAAAAGCAAACATAAATATTAAAAAAGATGAAAAAGCAATTAAGGAAGACATTGATGTTGACCTGTGGTGCATAAACTCACAAGTACACCTACACATATGTACCTACCCGAACATACACATGTACACACACACACACACACACACACACACACACACACACACACACAAAGAGTTAAAGTCAGCCTGGATTACATAGTGAGGCTGCCTCTAAAAGCCAAAGGAGTGTGAGGGCTGGAGAGATGGCTCAGTGGTTAGTAGCATGGAGAGATGGCTCAGTGGTTAGTAGCATGGGCTGTTCTTCAGAGGGCCTGGGTTGGGTTCCTGGCACCCACATGGTGGCTCACAACTGCCTATAACTGGGAAGTTACAAGTTCTGGGAAGATCAAGGTCCTCTCTGGCCTCTGTGGGCACTGCATGCCTGTGGTGCACACACATACTTGCAGGCACACACTCTTCCTCACTTTTAAAATGTGTGTATGTGAGAAGGCTCCAGGATAAATAGAGCCTGGGGAGTTTTCACATCTTGTCATCGAATTGTCTTGAGGGCAGAGAGCAGTGCTAATGGAAAGGCTTCTGATATCTTGCAGAAGATGGGCATCGTCCTGAGTGGTCATTTTACCCAAGGTTCAGCAGCAATGTCCACACCTACCATGTTGGGAAGCAGTGCTTCTTCAGTGGGGTTTTCCGGGGCAACAGGAGGTCTGTGGCAGAGAGGACCGTGGACAAGAGCCTTGGGAAGAAGAAATATGGTAATATGTCTCATTCCATCAAAGATGAAACAAGCAAACAAACAAACAAACAAACAAAAAAGCCCTTAGTTGTGACTCTGTGGACTCTGATTTCTCTGGTTGGGGACAGCTCTGTAGGGTCACCCTGTTGCCCACAGCTCAGCCAGAAAGACAGGAAGGCAGAGAGCCCAGTTCACAGGCGACAACTTTTGATAAAAGACTCAGAATACACGCTGATTCACACTTTCATCTTTCTCTAGCTCTCATGGAATGCTAATGTGACATTTAAGTCACCAAATGAGTCACTTTAGATCATTAGTAGAAGCCTCATTGAAGTCCCAAAAATATCATGTGTGTTTCAATTAGATGCCACTGGTCATGGTCATGTACATTTAAATTAAAGCCTTAGCATGAAGTATATAGTGTTAGTTTTAATTAAAGGCAACTAAGATGAAATATTATACATATCTAAATCCATGGGTCACCCTGGTGAGTTCTCTGCCCCAACTCACTCAGAATAGACTTCTCAAAAGATCCTAAGAGGTTGCGGAGCACTGGGCCATTTATGGCCCCTCCTTACAGAGATACCCATGTAGGAGGTTTCCGTAGACACTGTGCAAAGAGGAATAAGTAGCAGTTTCTCTTGCAAAACTCATGTAAAGGGCAAATGGATTTTCAAATTGTGCTTGGCTTTATGTGGAGAAAGAGTCTTCCCGGGGAAGCTGCAAGCATGGCCACTGATGTGGGGTCCTCACAGGACCTCGCCTAGACCCTAAACTTCCTACTCATCAAGAGGAAATGCAGGGGGCGCTGGAGAGACGGCTTAGTGGTTAAGAGCACTGGCTGCTCCTGCTGATTCTATTTCCTGCACCCACATGGTGACTCACAGCCATTTGTAATTCCAGTTCTAGGGGATCCGACGCCCTCTTCTGGTCTCTGTGGCCACCAGGCACTCATGTAGTGCACAGACATACCTGCAGGCGAAACGTTCATACACTTAAAAAAAAAAATCAGAGGAAATGCAGGCTGGAGAGATGGCTGCTGCACAAGCCTAAGACCCAAGTTCAGATCCCCAGAGCCCCCACAGAAGCCAGGTGCAGGGGCCATCCCCTATAATCCTGGGGGAGCTGAGACAGACGGATCCTTGGAGCTCACTGGCCAGCCTAAATGGCAAAATGAATTCAGTGAGAGACTCGGAGTCAAAAAATGAGGAAGAGGGCAATTGAGGAAAACGTCCAACATTGACCTTTGGCATCTACAGGAAGGATCACACATACATATTGCACACCCAGGTGCACATGTGCACACATACAAACATGTATGTATACTATACACCCAAGTATACTTAGAAAGGGAAAGGCATGGCATTTGAGACCCAGAATGTATACAATTTACTTTTTCCTCACTCAAATATTTTACTCTTTTTGTTACTTAGAGTTGAAATGAGAGTGTTATACACATGGACCACCGTCATAAGTAAACAGAACTTAATGAGTTTGTCAAATTCAATGCCTAACGATAGGCACTTTTCTGTTTTTAGTTTTAAAAATATAAGCTGGCGGTGGTGGGGCACGCCTTTAATCCCAGCACTCGGGAGGCAGAGGCAGGCGGATCTCTGTGAGTTCGAGGCAGGGCCGGACCGACAGCCTCCAAAACAATACAGAGAAACCCTGTCTCGTAAAACCAAAAAAAAAATAGATATATATATAAATCATGGTAGAGTGCTTAGCATGGGCAGAGCATGGCTCCATCTCCTGCACACATCAGACGTCATAGCACACTCCTGTAATCCCAGCAGTTGGGGGATGTTGATGAGGATCGGGCATTAGAGGTCATCCTGGCATTATAGTGAGTTCAAGGGCAACCTGGGGTACGTGAAACCCTGTCCCCAAACAAACACAGAGTTCCACCCATGGCTCAGTCCTCATCAGAGAATCTTCTCCAAGTAGAAGACAATTAGCACATAGACCCACAACTGGACAGTGTTCATAGAGTAAGTAACTTTGGAGTTCTCAGGCCTAAATGGGACAGATGTCTACATCTTACTCCTCTCAAGGCTCAGTGATATATGTAGGAGAGGGGCAGAAGGACTCTAACAGCCGGAGGCGGTGGATGACTCCAGACAGGGCAGCATTTTCTTGACATAGCAGGGCAGCAGGTCATATGAGCTTACAGAAGCCTAGACAGCATGCACATGACCTGCATATCCAGGCCAGACAAAACCCCAATACAGAGGTGGGCGTAATTCCTGCCCCTTGCTCGCACCTGGTAGCTGCTGGGAGAGGGAAGTGACAATGGGTATGTCAACCACACTCCAGGGCAGGCTCCATGCTCAGGAGTAGTTGGCCAACATGAATTAGATTCCACTTTGTGTGTTTAAAGAGAAAGAAATTACATGAAGTTGGAGAGAATCTGGAAGGAGTTGGGGGAAGGGAAAGAATGTGATTAGAATATATTGTTTGAAAATCTTGGGACAAAAAGAGATGGGACTGGAATGATGGCTCAGTGGTTAAGAGCACTGGTTACTCTTTCAGGGAACCTGAGTTTGTTCCTCAGCACCCACATGGTGGCTGACAGCCATCTGTAACTCCAGTCCCAGAGGATCTGACACCCTCTATGGCCTCTAAGGGCATTGCACACACATGGTGCACAGTCAGTCATGCAGGCAAAACACTCATATACACAGAATAATAAAATGAAATGTTAAGCTTTCCTTGAGAGGAGCCTTCTTGCCCGCCTGGTTCCAGATCCGCATCAGTCCCAAATAAACACACAGGAGGCTATATTAATTATGAAGCTGTTGGCCTTGCTTGTTTCTAACTGGCTAGCTCTAACTTAAGTAATTACCCCATAATTGTTACTCTAAGTATGTCTCTTACCTGAGAATAGTTCCCGGCGTCCTACCCCCATGGCGTCACATGTTGACTCTCTTGTGTTTCCCCTACCCAGCATCCTCCTGGACTCCTAGCCCCACCTATCTAGATTCCTATTGGCCAGCAGTAATTTATTGACATATACACAGGACTTCCCCAACAATGAAACAATAAAAAAATCAAGATAAAAGCTACATGTCTAGCATGTCCAACAAAATCAACGAAAAGACCAGTCAAGCAAAAAACCCCACCAAGCAAACAGATGTATATATAAATATATATATTATTTAAAGACAGGGCATCTCTTTGTGGTCCTGGCTGTCCTGGAACTCACTCAGTAGACCAGGCTGGCCTTGAACTCAGAGATCAGTCTGCCTCTGCCTCTGGAGTGCTTGAATTAAAGGCGTGTGCCACCACTATCTGGCTTGTGTATAATGTTTTATAATATATAATGATAGAATACCTTTTCTTTTCTTTTTGTTTTTTGTTTTTTGTTTTTTTTGATATCCAGTTTCTCTATGTAGCCCTGGCTGTTCTAGAACTCACTAGAGGTCTAGAGTTAAAGGGTTGGCCTTGAACTCACAGAGATTTGCCTGCCTCTGCCCCCAAGCTGGGCTTAAAGGCATGTGCCTGACTGTGGGAACCTGTGTTTGCAGGGCTGCAGTCAAATCCAACCGACTTGCCCCTGGTTCATACCCGAGAGGGGAAGTATGGATTGAGAAAGGGCAGGTAAAGACATTAAGAGAAAGAGAAACAGGTTAGAGTCAGGAGGGCAATCCAGTGAGTACTGAATGCACCGAGTTTATTTTTCACCATTCTTAAATACCTTAACCAAAAAGAGGAACATGGTATCATGTATATGGAACAGACTTTCTTCCTCAATTCTCCAAGGATTTGGTAACCACACCTTAGATTTGATTTCTTGCTATATGGCTTTGAGAGTCAGAAGTAACTACACCTCATACCAAGTCTGTTGTTATTTAGAAAAGACTCCCAAGGCCAAGATCAAACATCCTCCTGTTGCGGAGTTCCCTGCTCAGTTCCGCAGCCGCCTCAGAGCCCCAAATAAACACTTAGAGGCTATATTAGATATGAATACTGTTGACCGGTGACTGGGGCTTCTTATTGGCTAGCTCTGTCTTAATTATTAACCCATAACTAATCTATGTATATCAGCATGGTCTTCTCTTACTGGAGAAGGAGTCTGGACCTGTCACTCCTCTGGCATCCTACATCATGACTGACTCTGCCTGTCTTTCCCAGAATCCTCCTTGTCTCCTAGTCCCACCTACCATCCTGCCTCATTGGCCACAGTGCTTTATTCATCTACCAATAAGAGAAACGTATGCACAGAAGACATCTCCATCACCTACTGTAGCCACGCCTTAGACCTTTAGGTCTTATGATTTACTAGGACAGTTTTGAACTCTCTGACCTTGAGCCAAGATGAAGTGGAGCCATCTTTATGGGCCCCAACATCTGACTCCTTTTCATTTTTCTGTGGTGCTGGGAATTGAACTGAGGGCCTTATATATACATGCTAGCCAAGTGAACTGTATTTCCAGTACTCCATGCTTTTTAAAAAGTTATTTGAAAATTTTGTACATGCATATAGTGTATCTTGATCATACCCACACCTCACTTTCCACTCCAATCTTCTTGGACTCCCCCAACTCCCCCCAACACATCTTCTTCACAACCTTATTTTATTTTTTTGGAGACAGGGTTTCTCTGTGTGGCTTTGTAGACCAGGCTGACTCTGCCTATCTTTCCTAGAATCCTCCTTGGATTCTGGGAATCCTCCTCTGCCTCTTGAGTGATAGGATTAAAGGCATGCACTACCACCACCTGGTCCAACCTTATTTTTTCCTTTAGTTTTTTTTTTTTAACATTCAACTGGGGCTGCTCATATGTGTGAGGTCATCCATGGGTGTGGGGAACCTGCCAGTGTCCATACTCTTAGCTAAAAGTGACTCTCCCTCCCCCTGCAGCTACCAACTGGCAATAGATTCTCAGGTCTAGGGCCTCAGAAGCCACCTGCAACCTATGTGAAATTTTAATTGGCTTGATCTTATGCAAATCATGCACAGGCAATGTGAGTGAGTGCAGGTGCGCACCAGCCACACCACGCCCAGGGAGCCATGTTCCTCGCTCCCTCTGGCTCCTACCCTCTTTCCACTCCCCCTTCCTCAGCCCTCCATGTTTTCAAACAATCACAGCTGATGACACAGTGTAGGGGAAAAAGTCACTGTGAACTTGAATTATCTATGGCGGAGTGACAAGAACGTCATCTCACAATAAGCACGGAGACGCGTGATTGTCACCGGTCATGTCACTGCTTTGGCCTCAGCCCTACGTGTCATGTTTTCAAACGTTTCCCACAGACATCGATCCCAGAAATGGAATTCCAAAGCTTACACCAGGGGATAATCCGTACATGTTCCCAGAACAGAGCAAAGAGTTCTTCAAAGCAGGAGCAACTCTGCCGCCAGTCAACTTCTCGCTGTGAGTGCACGCTCTTCCAGAGGAATCTATTAGCTGTCAAGGAGTCCAGGGTCTGCTGCTGCATATACATAGTGATATTTAATTAGCTTGTTACTTATTTTATTTATGCATGTTGGTGTGTGTGTGTGTGTTATAAGCACCTGTATGTGCACGTGTGTACACTCCTGCATGTGTGAGTGGAAGCCAGTGGACACTGAGTGTTTTCCTCTATTGTTCTCCACTCTATGCTTCTAGACCAGATCTCTCTGGCTAAACCCAAAGCTCGACATTTTGGCCTGGTTAGTGAGCTCCTAGATTTGCCTGTCTCTGCCCCCTAATGCTGGGGTCACAGCACACAAAATTGTGCCTGCCTTTTATGCTGGTGCTGGGGATTTGAAACCCAGGTCCTGTTGCTTTCATAGCAAGCTTCATACCCACTGAGCCATTTCCTGTCGTTGTGTAGAGATTATTTTTTAAGGGGTGGATAGCAATAAGATATGATGGAGTGAAAATTGCTTAATAAGTTCATATTTAGTTAATTTGTGCCTATACTCACTGTAGAACTGAAATAATAAAAGACTCAAAAAGGGCTGGGGATAGCTTATTGGTGGTTCGGACATAGGCAAGGCCTTAACTTCAACCTCCAATACAACAAAAAGGACATCATATTTTAAAGAAGCATATGTGTGTGTGTATGTATGTATGTGTGTGTGTATATATGTATGTATGTGTGTATGTATGTATGTGTGTGTATGTATGTGTGTGTATGTATGTATGTGTGTATGTATGTATATGTGTATGTATGTATGTGTGTATGTATGTGTGTGTATGTGTATGTATGTATGTGTGTATGTATGTATGTGTGTGTATGTATGTATGTGTGTGTATGTATGTATGTGTGTGTATGTGTGTGTATGTATGTATGTGTGTGTATGTATGTATGTGTGTATATATGTATGTATGTGTGTATGTATGTATGTATGTATGTGTGTATATGTATGTATGTGTGTATGTGTGTATGTATGTATGTGTGTGTATGTATGTGTGTGTATGTATGTGTGTGTATGTGTATGTATGTATGTGTGTGTATGTATGTGTGTGTGTATGTGTGTGTATGTATGTGTGTGTATGTGTATGTATGTATGTGTGTGTATGTATGTGTGTGTGTATGTGTGTGTATGTATGTATGTGTGTGTATGTATGTGTGTGTATGTATGTGTGTGTGTATGTGTGTGTATGTATGTGTGTGTATGTATGTATGTGTGTGTATGTATGTGTGTGTATGTATGTGTGTGTGTATGTATGTGTGTGTATGTATGTATGTGTGTGTATGTATGTATGTGTGTATGTATGGTGTATCACGGGGGGGTGTGGACTATTTGGGGGAAGGAAGAAGAATAGCGGGTAGGGGTAAAAGAGGGTGATGGAGGGTTGAATACGAGCCACTTCCAATGATAGACATGTATGGAAATGTCATGAAACATGAAGCCCATTATATTGTACTTTCAAAGCTAATGGAACAAGAAATAAGTAGTTGTTTATTAGTCTGATTTCTATTACCACACACCTTGGAGACTCCGGAACGTTCAGACCCAGTCTAATTGTTAGTGACTAATGTATAGGTTGACATTAAATGTGGAGGTGAACTTAGGAAAATATGATCAAAGAGAAGAGCCATTCAACTAGAAAGAAAAGCAGCTGCTGTATTATATTGAAAATATTTTGAAAACCAGTCACGTAAGAATCAATGGCCTTGATGAAACATAACAAAAAATTAAGCACTATTATACCCATCCAGTTTTGAAGCCCACATTTGAGAACTGATACCAGAAGGAAGGTCGGACTTATTTTGGAAAAGATGTGTTCTCTCTCTGTTTTAAGAGGTGGTTGCAATTTTATGGCTGTTTTCACTGTTTTATTTCCTCCCTCAGGACTCCTTATGAGAAAAAATTCGACACGTTCATCCCACTGGAGCCACTGCCGCAAATCCCCAAGTGAGTTTTCTCACCGAGCTGTCTACGGCCCTTCCTCTGTGAAGCCACACCCTTTTCCCCAGGGAGGGGCCTGCCAACTGTCAAGCCATGGGGACCGTTCGTGTCCCGGAAGCAGGATCAGTGCAGTATATACGGTGGACAGTAGAGGGACACACAGAGGTCACGTGTCTGTGGCATCAGGCAGCAGGAGGGGGACAAATTCTACATAGGACACGAGCTGACTGCCAGATGCCATGGTGTGTTTGGGTATGCACGGGAGAGGAGTTTACATGGAGCAAAAGATTGGTAATATGATACCCTGCTTTCAGAGTATTATCACAGAGTGATCTGGGACATGTTTTAATGATTGCACCTCGGGAACTTGGTTAGAGCTTCAAAGAAAAACCCAATAGAACACTCCTATTATTTATTTATTTATTTTGTTTGCTTTTCTTGGAGACAGGGTTTCTTGGTGTAGCCCTGGCTGTCCTGGAACTTTCTCTGTAGAACAGGCTGGCCTCAAACTCACAGACATCCTCCTGCCTCTGCTTTCTGAGTGCTGGGATTAAAGGCGTGCCACCACTGCCTGATTGGAATTCCCTGTATTTAGGGAATGATTATCCCTCTGCTTTTATACTAAGATCAAAGAGAAGACGCGTGTGTGGAGGCGCCTGGACAGTATGTTAAGACGTGTGTGTGGAGGCACATGGACAGTATGTTAAGACGTGTGTGTGGAGGCACATGGACAGTTTGTTAAGACGTGTGTGTGTGTGTGTGTGTGGAGGCACCTGGACAGTATGTTAAGACCTGTGTGTGGAGGCACCTGGACAGTATGTTAAGACCTGTGTGTGTGTGTGTGTGTGTGTGTGTGTGTGGAGGCACATGGACAGTTTGTTAAGACGTGTGTGTGGAGGCACATGGACAGTTTGTTAAGACGTGTGTGTGGAGACACATGGAGAGTTTGTTAAGACATGTGTGTGGAGGCACATGTGCCGTGAGTTAGGGAGTTGGTTCTCTCCTACTATGTGGGTCTCAAGGACTGAACTCAGGTTTTTATACATGGCAGCAGGAGTCGTTACTTACTGAGTCATCTCAGTGGCCCTAATTTCATGTTTACAGAATTAACTTTTTTTAAATTAAAATTACGTGTGTGGGTGTTTTGCGTGCATGTATATCCGTATGCCATGTGTGTACCCAGTACCCTGAGACACCAGAAGAGCATTCCCTGGAACTGAATTTACACATTGTTTCAAGCCACCGCATGGGTGATGGGAATCAAACCTGGGTCTTCTGCAAGAGCAGCCAGAGCTCTTAACTGCAACTGAGTCATCTCCACTCTGATTTCACTTTTCTCTGCCCCAGTCTGAACCTCATATACTTAGTTAGCCTCCCTCCCTCCCTCCCGGCCCTCCCTCCCTCCCTCCCTCCCTCCCTCCCTCCCTCTCTCTCTCTCTCTCCCTCCCAATATAGTCTCATGTAACACAGGGATTCAGTGGGAGTACCAAACCCCAGAGCTCGGTGGGAATAGAAGCCTTTTATTCTAAACTTGGCACCTCTAATGCCTTCATTATGCTTCATTATTCCTTATAATGTGTAATTAGGCTTCTCATCTCTGTACTTTCTCTTTTATACACACTATATTTAATACTTAAAATACTACCAACCGCCGGGCGGTGGTGGCGCACGCCTTTAATCCCAGCACTCGGGAGGCAGAGGCAGGCGGATCTCTGTGAGTTCGAGGCTGGGCTGGACCGATAGCCTCCAAAACAATACAGAGAAACCCTGTCTCGAAAAACCAAAAAAAAAAAAAAAAATACTACCAACCACCATATCTTGCCATTCTATCCAACTATTTTAGTTTTTTGTAAATATATGCAAACATATTTGTATGTATAAATCATAAAATATCAAGCAGTAGGTTTTTCTAACTATTATATTGTATTTATTTTTGTTTTTCCAAGACAGGGTTTCTCTGTGTAGCCCATGCTGTCCCGGAACTTGCTCTGTAGACCAGGCTGGCCTCAAACTCACAGAGATCTGCTTGCCTCTGCCTCCCGAGTGCTGGAACTGTACTTTTAAAGGATAAAGCATTGCAGACTAGGGTGCTTTTGTACTGGGGCCAGTCTACGAATCAGGAGACTTGGGCTGTCTTCATCATACACTGACCTGGAGATCATCTAACCAATTGATCATATCAGGAGACAAGAGGGCTCCAGTTTCAAGAGCTGTTGCTGGATTTGCCACTAACTGTATCTTAGATTCAGCTCCCCACTCCCTCAGTACACAAGCAGTTAAAATCTCAGCTAGAGACTCTTGCTGTTTTTTTTCCCCCCTCTTTGACAGGGTCTCGTGTAGATCAGGCTGGCCTCAAACTCACTATGCAGCCAAGGATGACCTTGACATTTTGGTTGGGAGCCTAGCCTCATTGACCTTGGATTTTTGATCTTCGTGCTTCAACCCCCCAAGTGCTGGGATTATAGGTGTCACCACCCCTGGTTTATGTGGTGCTGGGGACCAAGCCACAGCTTCCTGCATGCTACAAAAGCATACTCTACCTGGTCTCCAGCTTCACCAGTACTTTTTTTTTATGGTTTTTCAAGACAGGATTTCTCTGTGTAGCCCTGACTGTCCTGGAACTCTCTTTGTAGACCAGGCTGGTTTCAAATTCACAGAGACTCACCTGCCTCTACCTTCTGAGTGCTGGGATTGTGCACCACCATGCCCAGTTTAATATTTTTCATTTCTAGAAGTTGCATGTGACTTTTTACTTTATTGTGTGCATGTGTATGTGTGTGGACAAACTTTTGGGAGTTGGTTCTCTCATTCTGTCCTGTGGGTTCTGGGGGTGGGACCCGAGCTGTCAGTCACATTGTTGGCAAGTACTTTTATTCACTGAGCTGACTGCCCCCTCCCCGCATCTGATTTGTTTGTATGTTTGAGACAGGGTTTCTCTGTGTAACTTTTTTTGGAGGCTGTCCTGGAGCTCACTCTGTAGACCAGGCTGGCCTCAAACTCTCTGAGATCCACCTGTGTTGGCTTCCCAAGTGCTGGGATTAAAGGCGTGCACCACCACTGCTCAGCATGATTTTTTAATGACTTTTATTGACTCCCTTATTTCCTTAAATACATCAGCATAGTTATCATAGCTATGTTAGTATTTTTGTTTGCTAGATGATTTCTGTCACTTCTGGGTCTGTTGCTGCTCAGTGATTTTTATCTGATTACTGATTACAGTTTTCTGATTCTTGGCAAGACTAGTAATTTTTGTTTGAATAGGAAACATTGTGATTTTAAGGTGTTGAGTGTCTGGGCTTTGTTATTGTCCCCTAAAGAAAGCTCAGCTTTATTCTGACAGTCATTTGTGGTTTGGTATGATCTTTTGATACTTTAGTTTTGAAGGTGTGACCCTTTTCGAATATGTTTTGACTATTGTTAGGATAGTGTAGAGTAACTAACCCTTCTCTTTGGAGTCTCTATGAAGTGCTTGAAGTAATGGATGAAGTCTAGGGAGGATGTATAGGCAGGACGTATGGGCAGAGAGAAGAAGCAGGAATAGATAAGGTGCAGAGGAGACCTGTCAGACATGGAGGGCGTTAGACATACAGAATGAAAGAAGGTAAGAAGCTACATGGCAAAACATAGATCCATAAAAGTAGGCTAATTTAAGTTATAAGAGCTAGTGAGACAAGCCTAAGCTAAGGTCTAGCTTTCATAATTAACAAGTCTCCATGTCATTATTTGTGAGGAATGCCAACTATAATTTACTCACTGAGCTATCTGCCCAGCGCTCTGAGGTGGAGGCCTCCTTCATTTTGTGGGCATGCAGTGCCTTAGCCATTGGTGGCGTTTGTGATGTAGTGTGGTATACATTCACACTCAGCAGGACCGTGTTCTTCCTCCAGCTTGCCTTTCTGGGAGAAGGAGAAGGCCAACAACCTGAAGAACGAGATAAAAGAAGTTCAGGAGCTGGACAACTGGCAGGCGTCGTCGCCCTTCCTGCAAGGGTTTCTCTCCTCTGGTAGGTTCAAGAAATCTCAAGAAACTATAAGACCTGTTCAGAAAAGCAGTTTTTGGGAGGCTCCGTGTGGAGCTCAGAGATGGCAGAGCCTCTCCTGGAGTGGGTGTGTCTTGTGCACCGTGGGATCCTCTGGGCAAAGGTCCTCACCGTGCACTAAGCGCTGGATGTGTTGGCTGAGAGCCGTTGGGCTTGTAAGGGAACACCCTCTTTAATGCTGTGCCTCTATCCACAGGTGTTTCCAACCTTCCGAGACATCCCTGAGCAGAAATGAGTCCCCACGCACGCACTGACTGACCTCCATCCAGCCTCTGCCAGTGCTGGGTTTTTCTATTCTTTGTTTTGGACAGCGTCTCTGTCCTAAGCCATTTATTTGACTCTAGTGAGCAATCGCTATGATTTGTCTTGTTTAACTGTCAACTGTGGACATTTCAAAACGAATAGAGAAGTTGCACAAATCATAAAGTAGATACCCGCATATCTTTCATCTAGACTCTACCATTGGCAGCATTTATCCCAGCTGTCTCCCTCCGCTCATTTTTTTTGACCCACTCAGAGAGCTAGTGACACATCATAATCCTTTACATCTTCAGACCTCATACCTCAAGCATGTGTCTCTTCAAGTGATGGGTACTTTCTACCTAGTGTATGTACATTTCCAATGCAAGGTATTTAGCACTGACAGTAATATATAGCTCACATTTGGTTTTACGCAGATACATTTGTTTTTTGAATGCCTGTAGGTCAATGGTAATAGGCAGACTGCTATGATAGAATACCAGAGACTGGGTAGTTTATAAACAAAAGGATTTCCTTCTCATACTTCTGGAGGCTGGCAAGTCCAAGCCCAAGATACTGGCAAGTTTGGTATCTGGTGAGGCACTGCCTTCTTGCGACTTAAGGGGAAAGGTTTATTTTGGCGCACAGGGCCAGAGGGATACAGTCAGTCACAGTGGAGAAGACACGAAGCAGGCAGGGAAGGCACTGCGGGAGGGGAAGGCACTGCGGGAGGGGCGATTGGGTGGTCACATTATATCCACAATCCAAACCTGAACAGCAAGGACCAGGGTTAAAGCCAGAAGGCCTGTTCCCAGTGATCCACTTCCTTCCCTGATGCTCCCCTCCCAAGGGCCTAATCCCCTCCTGAAAGACCCCCAGAGTTACTTTTCACATGGACAGTTGTACTAGATCACCTCCTGGTATGTCTTGAACTGCCAAAGTCTATCAATTTTCATCTTTTCTCTCCCCCCGTCTCTTCCCTCCCTCCCCGAGACAGGGTGTATCCCTGGCTATCCTGAAACTCACTCTGTAGATTAGGCAGGCCTTGAACTCAGAGATTTGCCTGCCTCTGCCTCCTGAGTGCCAGGTGGTGGGTGGTTATGCAGGTCTCTAATCAATTTTTCATGTTTTTGTGTTGGGGATTGTATTAGTTTCACTTCTCATTGCTGTATCAGATGAGAAGCAACTTAGGTTTATGTGGCTTACATAAGAGGGGATATAGTCTATCATGTCAGGGAAGGTACTGTAACACTAATATGAAGCAGCCAGTCACACTGTATCTAAAAGTGGGGGGGTGGAGAGGTAGAGAGAGAAGAGAGAGAGAGAGAGAGAGAGAGAGAGAGAGAGAGAGAGAGAGAGAGAGAGAGAGAGAGAGATTTATCTTTTTTTTTTGGTTTTCCGAGACAGGGTTTCTCTGTGGCTTTGGAGGCGGTCCTGGCCCTCACTCTGTAGACCAGGCTGGCCTCGAACTCACAGAGATTTGCCTGCCTCTGCCTTCTGAGTGCTGGGATTAAAGGTGTGCACCACCAACACCCGGCTAAGATTTACCATTTTTATTTCATCTGTGACCCCAGCCCATGGGATGATATTGCTCGCATGCAGGGTGGGTTTCTCTCCTCCATTAAATGTCTCTGGAAACACCGTCAGAGACGCAGACAATCTTCTAAATCTGTCACCACAAGATGGTCAATCACCACCAAGGTATCAGAAGAAAGACCAGATGTCCAGCTGTTTGTACTAAGAAGTGTCTTTATTTTGCAAGTGTTAGAGGTCTCTCACTTGTAGGAGGAAGTAGTCTTATATATAGTCTTACAACACAGTGGAAAAACCCCAGGAAACCCCAGGTGGAAGAGAGCATGTTTTCCTCCTGCTAGATGTTGATGTCAGTGGGGCAATGTGGGGGCAGTAAGCCAGGACTAGAAAACAGGATGCACCTGTGGCTATCAGCTGACAAACAACTCAGACCCTGTGGGGGCTAGGCCCCAACAACCACAAAGACCAAGCTATATCCAAAACTATAGCAATATTATACTTCACAAATCCATAAAAGATTTATAGATATTCTGTAGTATCCCACAGTACTTTCCATACAGCATACAGTCAAGCAGTTCAGGCAAGAGCAGTTTCTTGTCTAAATGGCTTTCCATGGCATATTAAAGGCAAACTCCGCAACAAGTTTCTTCAATATCCATCATCCTCTCTGATGTAATTTATGTTGCCAGGAGCAGATGTGTTTCATCGTCATGAAAAGCCCTAAGTTAAAAAACTATTTTAAATGCCATAATCTGTAGGTCTTTGAAAGGTTTTGAAGAATACCCATCCATCTGAAATATATCTTTGTATAACTAGAAAAACTAAAATGACTGTAAATTTCAACTATTATAGATGACTATTAATCTGTATTTCTTTAAATTTTTTTATTTAGAGACAAGCTTGCTTCACATGTCAATCCCAGCTCCCTCTTCCTCCTCTCCTCCCCTGCCCCCCCCAGCATCCCAAACCCTCCCCACAATCCTCACTCCATTCCCCAGGGAGGGTGAGGCCCTCCATGGGAGATATCCAGAGTCTGTCATTTCGTTCAGGACAGGGCCTAGGACCTCCCCCAAGAGTCCAGGCTGAGAGAGCTTCCCTCATGTGGGATGGGCACCCAAAGTCCATTTGTATGCCAGGGATGAATACTGATCTGCTGCCCAAGGCTCCATAGACTTAATCTGTATTTCTTAATTACTTATTACATTTTTAAATAAGCTGCATAAACATAATACCTAAACAAGAGTAGAAATATACATATAACAAAATTGACCTTAAATTTGTATCAATAAACCAAAACACATATCAATGCAAAGTATTTATTTTTTATATCACTGCCTAGCAAAGGGAAAAAGACAAGACCTTCTAAGTAAACTGGCAGCATGGGTAGAAGGGTAGAAGGGGAGAGGGGAAAATGAATAGCTTAATAAAAAATATACATTAAAAAAAACCAGAGATTCCTGCTAGAAAATGAGGACAGAATGGACAGTCAGAGCATAGTTGTACTAAAATAAATTCTTTTAAAATGGAATTTCAAATAGAACTCAGAATTCTGCATTTATATTACCCGGATTCAGCAGCTTACTGTGATCATAAGGGAGAGGATATAGGAGATAGAGGGACTAAGGGAGACTTTGGGATGTTGAAGCTGTGGGTGGGGGGAGGAAAACTGGACATAGGGAGATAGGGCCCCTTGTAGCCCATATGGCATCATTGTATAATTAGAAAACAAAACACACCTCCCTCTCAATGGGCACAGCTGGGGGGAATGTACAAGTGAACTGTTTGCAAACCAAATTTCAACCTCTATTTACCCATTGTTCAGTAAACTTCCAATGCACCTACACACAGTCTGGTACTATTTCCTAAATAAGAAACTCATGTGGAACTCCATTTCCAGGAGGTCAGTATCTGTAGTTGGATTTTTCTTTGGGTTACCAGCCAGCTCCTAAATAAAGACATGGAGACTTATTATAAATTATGAATGCTTGGCCTTACTTAGGCTTATTCCCAACTAGTTCTTATTTCTTAATTTAACCTGCTTCTCTTCATCTATATTTCACTTCCGGGCTTTTTACCTTTCTTTCATTCCATATGTCCTACTTTCCTGTTTCCTCCACATCTGCTGGCTGGCTCCTGGTGTCTCTTTTCTTTCTCCCTTCCTCCCCCCCCCCAGCCTAAATTCCTCCTGGTACTTATTCTCTCTGCCTGGAATTTCTGTCTATACCTCCTCCCTTGCTATTTATTGGCCATTCAGTTTTTTATTAGACAATCAGGTACCTTAGCCAGGCAAGGTAAAACAGCATCACATCTTTACATAGTTAAACAAATACTTTGCAACACATATCAATCAGAGATGCCTGTGACACACACTGATGAAAAGGCCTATGATGTAGTTGGCATAAAAGTCTGGGGTATAAACATATGCATGTGAAAAAGAAAATCTCTGTTGGACATGTGGATTCAGAGTCTATTTTTTTCCTTTCCCAGAGACAGGGTTTCTCTGTATAACAGTCCTGGCTGTCCTGGAAATCACTTTGTGGATCAGGCTGGCCTGGACTCACTGAGATCCACCTGCCTCTGCCACCCAAGTGCTGGGATTAAATCCGTTCCACACCACCATCCAGCCAGGGTCTAGTTTTAATGACCAGACTGGGAAAATGGTCCCAAACAGAGCAATGAATTAAAATGACTCTTGAATCCCTAGGGCCTGAGGAAAAGCAAATTCTCTTTGGGAACACTGTCCTATCCCAGGGACCCACAAAGATGAACTCCTGAGGGGGAAAAAAAAAGAAAAAAATCACAATAGGATCCATCACAAAGTGTGCTGGTAGCTGAAACTCAAGCCAGATTAGGTGACTAAGACTGTTTTGCAGGGACTGGGGAGATGGCTCCACGGTTAAGGGTGCTTGCTGCTCTTCCAGAAGAAAAAAGTTCAATTGTCAGCACCCAAGTCAGGAGGCTCACAACCTCCTGTAACTCCAGTATCAGGCTGACTGACACCTGGCATCATCGGACATCCTCACACGTGTTGGGTACATATTCACACACTATACACATAAATAAAAAATAAATCTTTAAAGAACGTTTCGCAATATGGTATTAATTACTATGGTAGGGTGCATGTAATTCATTTTGTAGTAAAGGTATCAGGATACCAGTTTGCCCAGTGATGGCTAATGAGTAAATGAGAGGAGGTGTCTAGGGATACCAATCTAGGGGCTGGGGGCAGGTCTAGACAGCTTGTATTAAATTGAGTACATTTATTTGGGGGAGATTATGAGGACTGTGGATGGTGATTAATACTCTTCCCAGCTATGTCTAGATGTTGACTTTCACTTCTAGCTTTAGCCTTTTACGTGTAGTCTCTTGGTGTGATAATCTAGCTGAAGCTGGCAACACGGTTCAATGGTAAAAGCCTTACCAAGCAAGTTCAGTGACATGAGTTTGATCTCTGGAAGCCACAGTGGAAGGGAAGAACCAACTCCTGGAGGTTCTCTTCTGACCTCCACATGTACACTGTGGCTTGCAGCACCCCTCCCTAGTAATAAATTTGAAAATAGTAAAAAACAAAACAGGAGAGATAGATATTTTAGGTATTTTCCTCAGGTAAGTAAATGTCAATTTAGGCAGATCCAGTTCTAGAAAGTGATTATGGTGGCAAAATGGAGAATGATGTAGCCTCAAATTTCCTTTGTAAGTCAGGTAGATCACTATTGTCTTTGTGGAGCCAGGCTCCCCAAATTGTGTTTCCTGCATGTCAATAGGTGTTTTGTGTCAGATCAATTTGGAAATTCTTAAAAAAAAGAAAAAAAGAGGGGCTGGGGAGACGGCTTACCAGTTAAGAGCGCACACTGCTCCTATAGAGGACCTGGCTTTGGTTCCCAGCACCTACCTGATAGCTTACAACTCTATGTAACTTCCCATCTATCAAATAAAAGGAAAAAGAGACGTGTGTTACCTTCTAGAGTTGCCATGGCATAAAACAAGAGAAGTGGGGTCTGACTCCAGAGGTGGCGCAGCTGTTACAAGCGCTAACTTATCTTCTAGAGGACCCAAGTGTGGGTCCCAGCACCCACATGGTGGCTCACAACAGTTTGTAACTTCAGTTCCAGGGGATCAAAGCTGTCATCTGACCTCCTTGGGTACTGCATAAATATGCACAGACATACATGCAGGCAAAACACCCATGCACATTAAAAAGATCTTTGAAAAAAGAGAAATGGATTCTTCCCCCACTTCAGAAGCAGGAGTCAGAAAACAAGTTGTTCACAGGGTTGGGTCCTTCTTGCAGGTTCAGGGGAAGAGTGCATTTCATGACTCTTACCTCTAGTGCAGCAGTTCTCAAACTGTGGGTCATGACCCTTTGGCAAGTATGTCAGCGGGTCTTGGTTCTTTTCCTGGAGGAGTGACCCATCCATACCTTCATTGCTGCTGTGGGCCACTGTCACACTTCTCTGGCTGTAAAGTGAGCTCCTTGGTTAGAAGAATACTGTGTGGAATACCATGTCAGTGTATCAGACATTCTCTTAAGTCCACAAATGGTGATTTTGGCAGAAGCATTGTGTGTAGAAAAGGCAAATCCATAAGCAGAATAAGTATCTACTCTGGTAAGGACAAAGCATTGTCCTTTACACAGAGAAAGTGGTCCAATGTAGCCAACCTGCCACCAGGTTGCTGGCTGGTCATCCCAGGGAATGGTGCCATATCTGGGGGCTCAGTGTTGGTCTCTGTTCTTGGCATATCTGGCACTCAGCAGCAGCTGTAGCCAGGTCAGTCTTGGTGAGTGAAAGTCCATTATGCATAATCACCATTTCTGCCACCTTGGCTACTTTGTTCATGAGTTCATTGGGCAATGACAGGAATGGCTAGGGAAAGAGGCTAATTGTCCATATCATGGGTCATGCTATCTACTTGATCACTGAACTCCTCAACTGAAGCCACCTTTTGGTGAGCACTAATATGACGACCCATCTGTCTTCTGCACTGGACAGACAGGAGAGTTAAAGGAGAGGTGGTGGGAACCATTATCCCTGCATCTTTCAAATCTTTGATGGTGGCACCCATTTCTGCAATTCCTCCAGGGATGCAGTACTGTTTTTGATTAATTATTTTCCTTGGTAGTTGCCTTTGCAACTCTAAAGGCATCCATTTAGCCTTTCTAACCCCAATAGCCTCACTCTACAGGTCAGGGAACCAAGGTGAGAATTCTGCCAACGTCTAAGTATATCTATCCCAGTTATACATTCTGGAACTGGGGGAATAACCAACCACAGGATGAGTTTGGGGTCCTAAGTCAGACTTCAGTCAAAACTCCACTAATCAACTGGCCTTTATTAGACCCTATTTTAACTGGAGGGTCATGGTGTTTGTTGGGATCTCCTGGAATCAGTGTCAATTCAGAACCAGCATCTAATAGACTGGAAAGTCTGATTGTTCCCTTTTCCCCAGTGTACAGTTACCCTTGTGAAAGGCCCCTGGTGCCGGGCGTTGGTGGCGCACACCTTTAATCCCAGCACTCGGGAGGCAGAGGCAGGTGGATCTCTGTGAGTTCGAGGCCAGCCTGGTCTACAAAGTGAGTTCCAGGACAGTCTCCAAAGCTACAGAGAAACCCTGTCTCGAAAAACCAAAAAAAAAAAAAAAAAAAAAAAAAGGCCCCTGGTTTCTCTGGGGGAAGGACTGGAGACTTAACTCTAAAACTTTTAGGTATCTATCAGGGTCTTTCCTCAAGGGAAAGCTGGTCACCCCTATATTCAAGAGGTTCTGAACCTGCAGACTGGCTCAAATCTAGAAATTGATTCACTGGCCAAGATTGCATTTTATCAAGATCTAATGTAGCCTTTTCCCTCCATTTGTTTGAGAAAATTTCTACTTATCCAGATCAAACAGAACTGCAGTAGGCTTCTTATTGATTTCATGCCTGGAAACACCATGATTGCTTAGCCAGTACTAAAGGTCCATATGAGTTATGCCAAAATAAAATTCACTTTGCCTGTGCTGACCATTCTCATTAGGCCATTATGGACATTGTTTTGTCTATGCCACCAATATGATAATTATGATCACCTTGCCTCTGGTGATTCAGTGCTGCCACCTGTCCCCTGCTACCTGGGGGCTCAATCAAACCCATTGCATTTAATTCATCCAATTGAGCAGCAGCATCACCAACCCTAAGGTTTGGCACAAGGAAAAGGGCGACAACAAAACTCTTCAGATGTGCTGGTGCCCCTCTGACCATTTTGCGTCTTATAGGATTAGTGAAGGGCATGTCTTCTGGGCCTTCCCATTGTGGAGGATTAGGTTTTACACAGTACATCCACTCTAGCATTGCAATTTCCCTGAGCCTTAAAATCCCTTCATCAACACTAAGCCAGGGGAGATCAGGCATCTCCAACTCCTTTTCAGTAGGCCATCTTTTGATAAACGCGGCAGTCAACCATTCAAATAAACTTTTGACATCTTTTTTAACTGTGCGGGCTTCCATATTAAACCGAGAATCTCTACTCAGAGGGCCCATATTAATAAACTCAGTCTGATCCAGTTTTATGTTCCTTCCTCCATTATCCCACACCCTTAAAACCCATTCCCACACATATTCCCCGGACTTCTGCTTGAATGAATTAGCAAACTCATTAAGCTCTTTAGTAGTGTAGTGCACCTTCCCATGGACTACACTTTCTACCTTCCTTCTAGAAGCCTGATTTGCTTTAGGTCTGGTTATAGGTCTAGAGCCAACTATTGGTGAGCCTTGAGGGACATCAGTATTGTCTCTGCTGGCATCTCCTTCAGAGAAAGTCACTGTTGGTTTAGCAGACAATGGAGGATTAACTTCTTCAATCAAAGGTGAAAAAGGTGATGTTTCAAGGGGCGGGGCTGAGGGTACCACTTCCTCAGGTAAGATAAACCCTTCAGAATCTGAGGGTTCAAAGTTCTCAGTTTCAGTACGGTCCTCCCACACATCCCCATCCCAAGTTACTGGATCCCATTCTTCACCAACTAATGCCCTTACTTTAACTGCCGACACCTTCCAAGGCCAGGACTTGAATTTTCTCTGTAATTCAGCCAACCTTAAAATGAGGGCTTTAGTTTGATTTTCTGCAACTTGAGCTCTGTGGCTGCTGACAAGGAGATTCTCTTCCAGAACGTTCTTAGAAACCTCTAGACTGTTTATATTCATCTGGAGCCGGTCAACTTTATCACTAAGTTCTTTGTTGCCCTTCACCATATTCTGAAGTTGGTTAATTTTATCACGGAGCTCATTCCTATCCTTTATCAGTCTATCCAGAGATCCTAAGAGCAACCAACCAGCAGCATAATTTTCTTTATTTTCTCCCAAACTGTCAAAGGTTTCATATATAGGGCCACCAAATCCATTGCCATTTACAACTGGTGAGTCAGGATAATCAAATGCTTCTATTTCCTTAAGTTTGTAATATAGTTCACACCATGGGTTCTCAGCATTCTCCGAGCTCCCAGGAGAGGGAGTGACTGGAGAGGCTTCAGGTGAATTGAAAAGCCTATTCCAGATACTCAAAAGATTCATCTTTACACTTCTCTTTGTCTAGTACCAAAATCTGTATTAGGGTTTTCCAAGTCGAAGAACTTATGGAATGAATCTCTCTCTCTCATGGAATGGCTTATATGCTGCAGTCCTACTCCAACAATGGTTAGCTGTGAATGGAAAGGCCAAGAATTCAGTAGTTGCTCAGTTCCACAAGGCTGGATGTCTCAGCTGGTCTTCTGCATATGCTGGAGTTCCAAAGAAGTAGGCTCCAATGCCAGTGAAAGAATGGGCTAAGCTGGGTGGTGGCGGCACACCTTTAATCTCAGCATTCAGGATGCAGACGCAGGTGGATCTCTGTGAGTTTGAGGCCAGCCTGGTCTACAAAGCTACACAGAGAAACCCTGTTTTGAAAAAAAAAATGGATGTGCTAGCAAGGGGAGGGCAAGCAGGCAAATAGCAAGAGCTTCCTTCTTCTATGTCCTTATATAGACTTCCAGAAGGTGTGGCTCATATTACAGGTGTGTCTTCTCACCTTAAGATATGAACTAAAGGCCTGTGTCTTCCAGCCTCAAGATCCAGATCAAAGGCATGTGTCTTCTACCTCAAGGTCCAGACTAGAAGTAGATTCATCTATTTCAAACCAAGTAGAAAATCTCTCATAGGTGTACCCTCCATTTCTGGATTGTAGTCATGCTGACAACCAAGAACAGCCATCACAGTCCTGAAAACCACAGAAAGGTTTAGTTATCAAACGCCATTTTGAAGTGTTTATTTTGAAAATCAGAATTTACAGTTGTTATTGTTTGGCAAGAAGGAGTTAAGGCCACTGTGGCAGTTGCAGTGGTAACTGCGGCAGCTATGATAACTGCAATAATCATTCCAATGGATCTTTTTGTATGTATATGTTTGGTGCATAACTAAAGGCACTGACTTTTTTTAATTGCTAATTTTTTATTACTTTAATTTTAAATAGCTTGCTTCACATGTCAATCCCAGTTCCCTCTCCCACCCCTCCTCCCACACTCCCCCATTATCCCCCCAGCCTCCCACCCTATGCCCACTTCCTTCCACATAGGGCATATCCAGAGTCTGTCATTTCACTCAGGGCAGGGTCCAGGCACTCCCCCTAAGAAAGAGTCCAGGCTGAAAGAGCATCCCTCTTTGTGTTATGGACATACGAAGTCTGTTTGTATGCCAGGGATAAACACTGAGTGACTGCCCGGGGCCCCATAGGTTGCCCAGGCCTCCTCACTGACTCTCACACTCAGGAGGTCTGGATCCGTCCCATGCTGGCCTCCCAGCTGTCCGTCTGGGGTCCAAGAGTTCCCCCTTGTTCAGATCAGCTGTCTCTGCTGGTTTTGCCAGCCCATTCTTTGCCAATTTCCTCATCGCTCCTCTTTCTGTCACTGGGTTCCATGGGTTTAGTTCAGTGTTTAGCTGTGGGTGTTTGCCTCTGCTTCCATCAGTCACTGGATGAAGGTTCTAGGATGGCATATAAGGTAGACATCAAGTTCATTATCAGGAACGGGCATTTAAGGTAGACTCTCCACTATTGCTTAGCTTGCCAGTTGGTGTCATCCTTCTAGATCGCTAGAGGTCTTACTGGTGCCAGATCTCTCTTCAAACGTATGACTCCCTCTATTATGGTATTTCTCATCCTGTTCTCCCCTATTCTACCCCCCACTCAACCTTCCTGTTCCCCCATGACCTACTCTCTCCCCCTCTCTTCTTCCCAGCTCCCACTCCTCCCCCCACCTCCGCCATGTTCCCAATCTGTCACGACTTCGAGCTCTATTACAGAGCTATAGTCCTGAAAACAGCTTGGTATTGGCACACAAATAGACAGGTAGACCAATGGAATCGAATTGAAAACCCTGATTTTAACCCACACACCTATGAACACTTGATTTTTGACAAAGAAGCTAAAATTATACAACGGAAAAAAAGAAAGCATCTTCAACAAATGGTGCTGGCATAACTGGATATTGGCATGCAGAAGACTGCAGATAGATCCATGTCTACTGCCTTGCATAAAACTTAAGTCCAAATGGATCAAAAACCTCAACATAAATCCAACCACACTGAAACTCTTAGAAGAGAAAGTGGGAGATACTCCTCAATGAATTGGTACAGGTGACTGCTTCCTGACCATAACACCAGTAGCACAGACACTGAGATCGACAATTAACAAATGGGACCTCCTGAAACTAAGAAGCTTCTGTAAGGCAAAGGACACAATCAACAAGACAAAAAGGCAGTTCACAGAATGGGAAAAGATATTCACTAACCCCACATCTGACAAAGGGCTGATCTCCAAAATTTACAAAGAACTCAAGAAGCAAGTCTCCAAAACACCAAAGGATGGAATTAAAAGGTGGGGGTACAGAACTAAATAGAGAATCTCAATAGGCGAGTCTAAAATGGCTGAGAGACACTTGAGAAAGTGCTCAATATCCTTAGCCATCAGGGAAATACAAATCAAACAACTCTGAGATACCATTTTACTTCTGTCAGAATGGCTAAAATAAAAAACACAGAAGACAATTTATGCTAGAGAGGATGTGGAGAGAGGGGAATACTCCTCCACTGCTGGTGGGAGTGCCAACTCGTACACCCACTTTGGAAATCAGTATGGAGATTCCTCAGAAAAATGGGAATAAACCTACCATAAGACCCAGCAACTCTACTCTTAGGCATATATCCAAAAGATGCAAATTCATACAACAAGGACATCTGTTCCACTATGTTTATAGCAGCATTATTTGTAATAACCAGAACCTGGAAGCAACCTAGATACCCCTCAACTGAAGAGTAGATAGAGAAAATGTGGTACATTTACACAATGGAGTACTACTCAGCAGAAAAAAAAAAAACCAATGGACTCTTGAAATTCACAGGCAAATGGATGGCACTAGAAGAAACTATCCTGAGTGAGGTAACCCAGTCACAAAAAGACAAACATGGTATGTACTCACTCATATATGGATTTTAGACATGGATCAGGATAGTGCCAGTCTGCAATTCCACTGACAGAGAGTCTGGAAAACAGTAAAGAACCTAAGAGAGATATGCATGGTACACCAGAGT